CGAGTCCGGGACTTGAACCGCGGTCGACTACGTGGGAGTCCAGCGACATAGCCATTACGCTAACTGCTTGTCCCTTTTCTTTCTTTTTTTAAAGAGATTTTTGCTATAGAGTGAATGTGCTCGCCGAGAGAGACAGAGAGAGAAAGAGAGAAATCACTCCCCAAGGAGGATAGCAACACTGCAGTCCCTTTTCCTCCCTTGTCTTCTCAGGATCTGGGGTACACATGCACTCGGTATGAGTTTTAAGCCACTGGGTCCAGGACTCGAATTGCAGTCGGCCAAGTGGGAGTCCAGTGCCTTACCCACTATGCCATCGCCCCCCTGCCCAGGTCCATTCTATGCCCCTATAAGGCTTGGACTCTGTTTCAGAATAGCCTCCGTTTTTTTTTTTTTTTTTTTTTGGAGAGGTTTTTGCTATAAGAGGTTTTTGCTATAGGGTGTGTGCGCTCACCAGACAGACAGAGACAGACAGAAAGCGAGAAATCACCCCACGGGGGGATGGCCACGCCGCAATCCCTTCTCCTCCATTCTCCTCTCGGGATCTCAGGCATACATGCACACGCACCCCCGTGAGTTTAAGCCACCGGGTCCGGGACTCGAACCGTGGTCGACTACATGGGAGTTCAGCGACATTGCCATTATGCTACCTGCTGGTCCCTAGAATGGCCTCAGTTCTGGCCCTTGACCCGAAGGAGTCATCCTGGCCCTCCCCTAATCTTAGGGTGCTGTTTTGTCCCTCTTGATTCTCACAGGAATCCGAAACCCAGTGGACAACTGTCCCAGGGTGCCCAACTCAGACCAGAAAGACAGTGACGGTGACGGTGTAGGGGATGCCTGTGACAACTGCCCTCATAAGAGCAACGCAGACCAGGTGAGGCCAGGCCAGATCCCTGGTGGGTCAGATCATTGTGGGACCCGGATGTAGGGGCAGGGAAGGGGGCCAGCTGGTTTACCAAGACCAAAGCCCGGCTTAGAGCACTCCTCTCTGCCACAGGATAGACTGCCCAGTTGGGGTGCCTGGGGTGGGTAGGGGGCTCCTCAGAGTCAGAAGGATCTGTGCATGGAGTTTGGGGTGAAGGGAGGCTTCTAAGTTCCATGGCTCTGATTGGGGATTCTTGCACCCTACCCTTACTATCCCCACCCAGAGGGATGTGGACCACGACTTTGTAGGAGATGCATGCGACAGCGACCAAGACCAGTAAGGGGGTTCCCCTGGGGGCTGGGGCGGAAGTGTCAAGGAACACCTGATTTAATGCTTATTCTGGGATGTCATTGCCTCCCTGACTCACCTTCCCACTATAGGGACGGGGACGGCCACCAGGACTCGAGGGACAACTGCCCCACAGTGCCAAACAGTGCCCAGCAGGACTCAGACCGTGATGGCCAGGGTGACGACTGTGATGACGATGATGACAATGACGGAGTCCGGGACAATCGAGATAACTGCCGCCTGGTCCCCAACCCAGGCCAGGAGGACACAGACAGTAGGAGGGGGCGTGGCCTGCGGTGGGGCGGGGCCCATGTGCGCTCGCTGGGGTGGGCGTGGCCTGACCTGAGGCTGCTCTCTCAGGGGATGGCGTGGGCGACGCGTGCCAGGGTGACTTTGATGCGGACAAGGTGGTGGACAAGATCGATGTGTGTCCGGAGAACGCCGAGGTCACCCTCACCGACTTCCGGGCCTACCAGACTGTCGTGCTGGACCCCGAAGGGGATGCACAGATTGACCCCAACTGGGTGGTGCTCAACCAGGTGGGGTTGGGGCCCAGGTGAGGGCTGGGGGAAGCAAGCCCAGGGTCCCCAAAGTGGGGTCTCAGCTCGGGACGGGGAGTTTAAGGCCTTCACGGTCAGCCTGAGGCCCTCCTTCCTTTGGCCCTATCAGGGGATGGAAATTGTGCAGACGATGAACAGCGACCCCGGCCTGGCTGTGGGTGAGACGCTGGGAGAGGCGCGCTCAGGGGGCGGGGCCATATAAAGGGCGTGACTGACTGGGGCGGGGCCAGAGCAGCCTGGGATCAGG